GCCCGCCGGCCGTCGACGGCCTCCCAGGCTGCTGCTCTGCGGGGCAGCGCCGTACGAAGCGTGGAAAGGGGTGTTTTGCACCTTTCGGGCTCAGATTCTTGCTCTGTTTTCTTTGTGCCACCCCCCCCCAGGTCAACACCGAGTGGGTGGAGGTGGAATCCTGCGGTGTCAACCACATAGAGGGTGGCTGGCCCAAAGACATCAACCCGCAGGAGCTGGAACAAACCACTCGCTTCAGGAAGAAAGTGGAGAAAGATGAAAACTACGTCAACACCATCGTGCACCTTGGCACCGTAAGGCCTTGCCTGTCCCCGCACCTCGCCTTCCGCTCCCAGAGCCCCCTTGCCCTCCCGCTGCCGGTTCCCTCGCTTAGGCAGCTCCCCAGAGGCACGGCCTCTGCTCATGCTTTCCCTGCAGCTGATGGAGCACTGCGTCAAGCAGAATAACGCCATCAACATCTATGAGGAGTACTTTGGAGAGGAGGAGATGGCAGAGGTGGAAGACGAGCCCCCCTCTGCAAAAACCATCAATGTCATCAGGTAGCATAACCACCTGGGCTCACCAGGCTCTCCAGACCCACAGCAGGCTACTGAGTATTAAACTGCCTTTGGAGACGAAGGAGGTGGAAAACACAGTGGCTTTAGGATAGCGCTGGATCAATTTATGGATGGAGAGTCCTGCTGCAGTCCCCCTGCTCCGTAACTCCGTCTGTTCCTCCCCTCTCTGCCCTCCTGCCCAGGCACTTTGGGGATAGGTGCCACGGTCCAAAGACAGACGCAGCTCTGAGCATCTTCTAACAGTGCTTTAGACAGGATTTTTTTTTTTTTTTTTTTGGTGCCTCAAAGATTATCTTCAAATGTCAGGGGCTGTTAGGTCATTTCTAGAAGTCAGATCCAGTAACATAATTGGATTCTTAGAAATGTATAACTGGAAAGACTTTATTAAATCATCAACTCTTCTCCCCCCGCCCAACCCCCAAGAGAATCATTTCCTGCACTCGATGCTCAAGGGCTGCAGCTTGTTTTAATTGCAATTCCCACTGTTTCCTTTGGGAGAGTCATCCCGGGGCGTGACAAAGCTGTTAGCAAGCTAACATCTTTCTTTGATGTCCTGTTATCAAAAAGGGATCCAAACTTAACCAAGAGGACGGCCACACATCTCTCCTGGCACCCTGACACATGCAAGAAACTGGCAGTGGCTTATTCCAGCCTGGAGTTCCAGCAAAACATGAAAGACATGAGCTTTGACTCGTACATCTGGGATCTGGGTAAGGGAAGGGAAAACTCACCAGTCAGTAATGCTGCCGCTGCAGAAGCACTTTGTGTCTTCAAAGCATGTAATGAAGCCTCACAGCGCTCTGAAGGGGGTGAACAGGGGCTTGGTTTCCGCTTTGCCCACAGATCAATGCAGAGAAGGGGAGAAATGGGACCTAAAAGCTGGCCAACAGGTGGAAAATAACCGCTAAAATCCCACTACATGACTTCCCGAGCTAGAGCGCCTGCGACCACAACAGGCAGCTGAGCCACACTCCTCTGATGTGGTTCTTGTGCTTATATGGTTCGCTTGTGCTTGATTAAGAAAGAAAGAGGCAGCACAAGCTCAGGCTCAGAATTGCCCTGTTCTGTCAAAGAACAGACCTGTTCTCTCTTAGACCTGTTGTATTTTGGAATGAAAAATGGAAAGAAGAGGGGTTGGGGTACCGGGGATGGGGTACCAGGGATCTGTGCCCATGCTCTCAGGTGAGGACAGGTCAGCTCTCTTCCCTGGCAAAGGTGAGGCATCCTGGTGACATGGCCGGCTCACCAGCTTCTCCTCATCCAGCATGGCTGGGCAAGCGCCGGCGTGGCAGGGAGCCAGGCGTGGAGGAGTGGAGTGTGGTATCGGGAGGCTGGTTTAGAGGCAGGGCTGCTTGCCCTCCGGACTGCCTTTGCACTTTGCTCTTCACTCATCCCTTCTTGGCAGAAAACCCCAACAAGCCGGAGCTCGTTCTCAAGCCGTCATCCCCCCTCGTGAGCCTGGAATACAACCCCAAAGACTCACACATCCTGGTAGGAGGATGCTACAACGGGCAGATGGGTAAGCAAGATGGATTAGGCTTAAGGCCATATTAACGAGGCTTCATTTTAATTTGGCAAGAGCCTGGTTCCAGCACGGCTGCACTCACAAAGGACATAATGTCTTTAGTGTGGTGGCTGGGAACATCCTGAGCACAGCCTGAAGCCCTGGGGCTTGGCGTGCAGAGGAGAGGCATGTGCTCACCTGAGCAGGTACCTGGGGAGGACACCGTGCCTGGGAGCCCTTTGCAGGCACTCGGGGCAGTGAGGCGGCTGTGGCCGCAGCAAGAGCCCAGCAGGGTTTGCTGGATCAGATGGCTGAGCAGCACGCGTGCTGTGCTCCCGCCTCGCCCACAGCCACGTATTTTTGCATGGCAAAAGCCCAGGAGAGTCACCGTCTCTTCATGCACTGAATTGTTCTTGTGCTGTCGTTTCAAGTGCTTGGAAAAGGGCCCCTCTTTGCCAGCCTCATTTACGGCTCTCTTATTTACTTGGCCGCGTGAGCCCTTTGATTTAATTGCACTCATTTTGATGTTTTCCTTGCCATTTGCAGCAGCAATCAGATCTGACAGGGCATGCATTATGGGGCTGTTACTGCACGCTCCGCAGGTGATGGAGAGGAGGGATCTCACCCCGTCCTTCGCGGCGCTCCCCAGGCGCGTGGCGCGGGCCCAGCAGAGCACACTCCGTCACATCCGATTGCCTAATTAGCAGTGAGCAAGAGGGAGCGTGTGCGGCTCAGTGCCACCGCGGCCCAGCTGCCTAACCTGTGCTGCACCGCGGCCGGCCCCGCGC